TGGGAGTTTCAGGTTTCTTATCTTCTCAATAGCTTGAGCTAATTTCACTTTACCTTTCAGTGCAAAAAATAAATGCTTTGTAAGCAAAGCAAACACACCCAGCTGTATGGAATGCAACCAGTGGCCTCTGTGTCTGGTATGCTTTTGTTTTGGGTAGCCTGGGTCATAGTCTAAAATACCCCACACTTTTCAAAAACACTTCAGAGAAAGGTCGATGTTGCTGGCAAGCACCAAGTCCTTACTTCCTTTATGTTACAGCTGAGGCTTATCCTGACTTGCTCAGACTCTCCCAGGTTGGTGCAAGATGTTAGGATTCATAGACCTTTTCCCAGCAGTCTTTTGTTTTGCCATACCTCAATTTTATAATGTCATCCTTAAGAACAATGGGGGATGGTAATCACCTGCTAAATGTGGTTTGGGGTTTCTGACTGTATGGTGAAGCAGCTCTGAGGGGATGTAATTGCACAAGGTTTTCATCTTCTATGAGGAGGTGTGACTTGGGACTCATAACAAATTCAGTCACAATTCCTCTGTTTGAGGGATGTTGTATAGGAGATACCTATACATAACAGAGGAGCTGAAAATGTTTGGCAGTAGCATTAAAGGCACCTTTCGTGGCTACTACTGAACCCCTCAGTGGGTGATTCTATAAAGGATATGAGCTGTCCATATTTTTCATTTTGTTTTATACACCTGCCATGCAGACTGATCTCTTTAATGTAAATGAAAATAAAAAAAAAAAACAACAACACAACCTTCCACTGTTGCTAGTAAACCACAATTTTTTTCTGTTGCTGAACACAGAGGTTCGGACAAGCAATTTGCAGCCTGCAAGCTACATCAGATTGCTTTAGATTTGCCAAACTGTAAACACTCAGCTTCTGCAGGAAATGGTGGGAGTTTGAGCACGTTGTCTTTGGCTCTGGCTTGCAATTTACACTGCTATTACTGGGGAGGTTGAGACTTCTTTCTTTTCTGAGGCTACTCAAAGTCAGAATTTGGACCTTAATGCCCAAGATCTCATGTTCTCCATAATGGTACTAAATGCAGAAAAAAAATTTTATTCTGCTTTCCACAAAGCAAACAGTTATCAACTTCTCTCTGTCACAGGAGAATATCACTGGTAAAGCCAGGAAATTATTTCATTGCTCTTTCCTTCAAGTCGGATCTTTAACAAACAGGGAAAAAAAAGCCACTCTTTTCCTTCTTAAGGGGGGGAAAAAAAAAAAACGAAAGGAAAAAAGAGAGGAGACAAATGTTTTCCATGTTAGTGACAGCCAAATGTTTCCAAATCCCAGTTAAGTAGTTCCAGTTTTAACTCTCAGGATGTTTTTCTCTAGAGTCATATTTCCTGTCTTTTTTATCTAATTCCTGCTTGTCTGACATTGTATTGCTGTGGTTTATCAATATTTTTAGGTCCCAAGATAGCTCTGCTCTATTTGCCAAGGCCTTATGAACCAGGTTCTCCTCTGTGACCAAATTTCAATTCCAGTCAAGTTATTCTGAAGACAGGGTTTGGTGTTACATATTTATCTCCTGAGCTAATTAGAAGTAAGCGTGCTGCTTTGTGTCTCTACCTCCATATAAAACACAGCAGAAGAGTCCAGGTCAAGGTAATGAAGGAGTCCTGCTGGAAAAGCACGTATTGTATGAATCATCCTGTTGACTACACTATATTTATCTCTGTCACACTTTGATATCATCCCTTTTCGTTGCATGGAGAACGTGTCCCAAGTCTTGTTCACTTACAAGTGAAATCCTGAGTGTCTGAATGTGGAGCATACAGAACATCTAGCTCATACAACTTGATGTCTCACTGGAGCAGAACTGAAATATCTCTATCAAGCGGCTTCCAGAAATAGATAGCAAACGAGTGAGCCACTATGTTCCTTTTGGAGTCAGATTTTGGGGCATTTTATTTTATTGTTGCGGATCAATATATCTGTTAATGACCTGATGCCTTTTTTCTTTCCTCTTGATGAGGCACTAAGAGGCTCTGTGTGTCTCAAATTTAGTTTTGTCTGAAGAAAGATCCACGCGGTCCTGCGAGTAATTGTTGTGTTGAGAGGGGACTGCAAGCTTCCAAAAGGTCTCGTTCCCTTTGGGAATTAGTTATTAGAATTTAAGCGCTGCCTGCTGACCTTCTACAAAGCCTTGTCCTGTAAGGGGCAGTAGTATATAGTGTGCATGTGCAAAATATGTTGGAGAAAAACCCTTCTGTGTTTCAGTTCTTACCATCATAGAAGTTAGCAGTATGGTGGAAGTGGAGGTTTTTCCCCAAACATTTTATCAGTGATGAAATGAGATGCTGCCTGAGTCTGCTTTAAGTGGTGAAGGTTATATGAAATTACTAATTGCTGGCTAGGCTGGCGAAAACCTCTGCAGATTCCAATCTCACCCTGAATTGGTCTGTTTTGGTTAATACAAGATCTGGATTGAAACAACTACTGTCCTTGTTTTTTCATAGAGCCAATGTTGATGTCAAGCTGTTTTGCAAGCACAAACTAGCCTTTCTCACTTTCCTTGTGGGGTATTACCTTGGAGCCACAGGGCTACAAATATTTGGTGGGTAGTTGTGTTTACACAATGTCCACTAGCACTTGCCTTTTTGCTGAATAAACTTTGCTGCAGTAGCTGAAAGACTCCTGAATTTGGTGCAAACGGGACATCTTTCAGTGCCAGTGGGCTGCAGAATATTTTGCATTTGTTCGGTCTGTGGTTTGCGATTGAAACATGGTGAGCTTGACGCAGTATGAAAGCCTAGGAAATGCTGCAGGTTTCTGTCAGCTTCTTAGTAACATTTTGTTTCTTAAACTTTGCCAGCCTTGCGAAGAGCCGGACAGACCAAGAGTCTTTATGCATCAGAATGCTTTATTGTTGCAGAGCATGGTTGGGTTGCACCTGACCTGCCCAATGATTTGATCTCTCTTGTATGGGAACCTCGTTTTCTTCAGTCCTGCATCTCATGCTCCTATGCTGCAGCACATGTGTTTACTTTATTCTTTTCTCCCAGTTCATTGGGCTAGATGGAATTTAATTGCTGGTTGAACACCTGCACAGAGTGATTAATATCACTTTTCAGACATGGAGACTCCTCACTCTTCCCCATTTTGATGCAGATATCTTTTGGCATCTCACAATGTGGGATTAGCACGGGTCATGTAGTCTGGGAGTCTCTCTTCACTGTCCCTCTCTGTCTTTGAAACCGTTTTTGGCTTTCTGTTACTGATTACTTACTGAATCCCTCAGTCTTGTGCTGGTTTGAATGCCTCCGTTGTCCGGACATGCTGCCAGCAGAAGCAAGTCTGTGGCTCTGTGTGGTGCTTCAGGTCCCCAGGAATCTAGCTAATAACTTAATAGTGTCTCATCTTGACTGAGCTCACTCTGAGAAGTGCTTTGTTGTGAGTTAGGGAGCACACAGATGGCAGCATGCTATTTATCTCTGGGCTGTCATCATTGCTAGTTTTTCTCAAAATGGGGTGCCTTCACAGACCGGCACTTCACTGAGGTCTGCAGCTTTAAAGAGCCTTTTCCCAAATAGGATTTGATGCAATGGAGAGAAAAGCGACGGCATCCACACTTACAATGATGGCTCAGAGATGTTTATGCTTTTCTCAGGCACACACACATACTCTGTCAATACAAGAGCACTGCAGCCTGTGGATATTATCTTCTCTATTTGATCTCCCTTGCCTCCCAGTTGTGGGGAGGATGGAAAACTATGTGAAATACCTTTTTGCATTTAATCTATCTGCTCCCTGAATGTGGCTGGCCCATTAGCACTCACAGCCCAGTGACTACTGTAGTAGAGTTAAAACCAGCACATATTTGTGGTTAAAACTGAGCACTAACTTATCTTGCAGTCAAGGCTATAAAATCCAGGTTCCTTAAACTGACAAGAACTGCTACTCTCAGAAGGCAGGGGAGGGGGAAGGAGGGTATAACTCAACTCTCAAGTAATCAGAAATATTTTATCTTTTGTCATTGTCACATACTGGGTCACCAAAAGAGCTCTTGGGTGGTCATAGCCCCCTTGCTGCCCACCCACTCTGGATAACTGAATAGCCTGAAGCATTGGCTGATTTTTTCCTTGGTAAGACATTTTTATTCCACAGGCACTGAGAGGCAGACTGATGAGTAATTGCTTTATTTTTCCTTAAATATTAAGAAATTCTAAAGCTGGAAAACAGAGGGCTGGATTTTTCACATGGTCACAGAGTTTGGAGAGAAGGTTTAACAGATCTCTGACTCTGCTATATCTTTGATATCATTGGTGAACTTGGACAACGTTGGTAAGTGACTACTCACGGGCGTATTTTTCCAAATTTCTGTGGAGCCACTTAGGGAGCAGTTGGAGACAGATGTGCTGAAGTGTCAGGCTGTAGCCTGGGTCACACCTGTCATACAGTGTGATTGGAAAAACCCAGCACTGATTTACCAGGGGGAAGTTGGGAAATTGGAGCTTTTAATTGCAGTTACATGGATTTTGTGTCACATAAGGAGACTGTCCTCACACATAACCTCTTCAGGGCTTCACTTCAGTCTCTCTCCCTCTGCATAGACTGGGTCTGTGTCAGCCTGTGACAGCCTGAACACGCTAGCTATGGACAGGACTTGCCCAAAGTTGTCAATGACCAATGCCACATCTCCAAAAGCTTTACAGAAAGTTTGAATTCCCAAAACCTGTCAGGATTCTTGTACACTCCTAACTCTTAACCTTGACCCCTTATCTGTCATTTAATGAAGAAACAGCAAGATATAAAAGAAGTGTCTGGCAATTCTGACAGACAGGCAGTGATGAGAGCCTGTGCTGGCCCTTTCCTGAGAAATCTGCATGGGCTGGAAGACAGTACAAGTTTCACTGCTGTGTGCAGGCAACCCAGTGTGTGACACTGGTTTTTATTCCTAGTGCAGTACTATCTCTGGAGTGTAGGAAGCCTCTTACGTTGCACCTTCTGGTAATTATCCCATATCTCTTTTGTGTGTCTCCTCAGGAAAGGATGCCACAGACCCATCCCTTTGCAGCTATGTTTGACAGCAGTGGCTACAACAGGAACCTGTATCTGTCAAAAGAGGACAACTGTGGAGGGCTTTATTACCATGATAACAACCTCCTTTCAGGGTCTTTGGAAGCTCTGATCCAGCACTTGGTACCCAATGTAGATTACTATCCTGATGTAAGTCTCTACACCCAGCTAACTATATGGCTAGGCCTGATGCATCTCGTAAAGGGGAACTTTAACATGTGCAAAAGCAGAATGTGTCACATCAAATTGCCTAGGAGGGTGTCCAAGTGACTGATTAGCAATGATAGGATAAACATGTGCCTCATGAGTGCAGCGTGCAGCAACTCACTTAACGTAGGAAGTCAAATTTATTACTCCTGTTGTGAGGTGCACAACCCTGGTGACTCATTTATAAAGTAAGTACATCGTGTGGCTTACTGTTTGATGGACTGTATGTATATTGGCCCTTGAAAATCTGTCAAACAAGCTGAGGAGAAAGGCACGACGACTGGCACCACAGGATGAATGTATGTAGTTTAAAAACAAACAGTTTTTAATGCATATTTCCCATTGCTTATCTGAGGCTCACGTGTACCTTGCAATTAGCAACTGAAGTATTGAACTAGTACCACGCTGTTTGGAATCAGCAGAGGCCGGATATTAGAGCAGGACATTTGTCATCTGAAAATTTCTGGCCTGTCTAGATGCATCCGTGCATTGAGACATTTTATATAATACTTAGAAAAGAAGACTGAATGCTTGTTGAAAGGCTTCTGTTGAAGACATAACTTCACTTATATTCAGCTTCTGTTATTGTCATAGATCTATTCACGTTTCCAGGGTAGGACCTTTTTTAACTTGGGGCAGAGTTAACGGCAGTACAGGACTGTGCTTAAGCTACTGCTCATCCATTAACGCTTAATGTAAAATTTAAACATGTAGCAATTTAGACACCAGTTGGTCAGACGTGATGATTTATTCCAAGTCCCTAGAACTGGAACATTGTAGAATCTTTCTTGTGGGTGCCATAGATACTTAACTATTGGCAATGTGGGGAGTGGAGTGGATATTTTGAATATACGTCTCACAATGAGTTCAAATCATGATATATGGAAAATTAAAGCAAAATAAGGAGCCTGTTCTTGTAACCTCGGAATGAGTTACTAATTTTTATTCTGTAAAACTAAGCTATGTAGTTGCCTCTGCTTTCAGCCAGGAGACAAGCAATGCTATGAGAAATGAGCAGTATTTGAGGATTCTTAAAGGAAGTACAAGGTCATAGTATGTAGTTTACTGAGGTCAGATAGGCAAACACAGCGTATTAAAGATAGTGCATGTGGTAAAATTGAATCAACTCAACAATCTGGTCAACTGGCATTTTATTTTGTTCTTTTTCTGAAGACTATTTACTTTCACTAGCAATGTGGAAGCAGACAGGTTTTCTCTGTTGATATTCTATGTGGTTTGGACTTGCAGCATGAATTTTATTCCATTGTTGAGCTAGAAGGAGTTATGTAATCTGGTAATGGCTCTCACAAAGGTTTACTGTAGAGCAAGAGAAGATTGAAATTTTACTCTGAGTAGTTTCAGGAACTGAGCTTGTGCAGGAACAGGCTGTGTGCAATAGGAGAGCGAAACCAGCCCTGCCCTGCCTTGTTTTGGTTAAATCTTGCATAACTTGGCACAAGCACGAATTTATAATATTGATTCTGTAGCAATGACAAGTGTTAAATTAAATGCTTACTGCTGTAGTAATAGCTCTTGGCACAGCCACATCCAGAGTTTCCTTCTGCAGATAGTAAAGTATTAGAACCAGTTTCTTAGGAACGCAGTTTTAGAAAATATAAAACTGGTGGTAATTTATCCCTTTCTCTGTCTTCCTCTTGTTTGCAGAGGACATACATCTTCACCTTCCTTCTCAGTTCACGCCTGTTCATGCATCCATATGAGCTCATGGCCAAAGTCTGCCATCTGTGCATTGAGCAGCAGAGACTAAGTGAGCCTGGTCTGGACAAGGTAAAATCCTTCATTCTCAGGGACTCCTGTTAGTTCCAGTCAAATGTCTCTACCCTGCCCATAGCATAATGTTCCCACTCAAGAGAGCCCTCAATGGGATTAAACAGACTGAAAACCCGATATAAGCAACTAGAATTTGACCCTTTATTCCCTGACAGTCATAGTAAATTTCCACACTTCTCAACCTGTTCTCTGTGAAGACTGTTGCTGCTGCTGCACTGTTTGTTTTACCAATACATGGGCCAGAAACAAACGTGCTTGCTGTTAATGACATATCCTGCACTGCCCTGCAGTGGTTGCTTTTGTTTCAGGGTTTCGAACATCTTGAGGTATAATGCCAAAATGTTGGAAAGACATAACGATGAATTAAGAACATCAGTGGCAATTACACAGACCTGTTGCCATGCTTAAGCTACACTCTCAACTACAGTCTTTGCAGAGTGGTTTAGGTTGTTGGCCACTTTGCATGAGAATACATGATTTTTTTATGTATCATGCTTAGAGTTGAAAGAGGGAGAATGTGGACATTTAGATAGAACCTCCACCCCAGTAGAAAATGACACAAATTAAATTAAGATACTTGAATAATTCCACTGCTTTCTCACTGTAAGGTATAGTGCGTGCATAAGTCTTGGCAGAACTGGAGTTTATCACTTTCATTGCTGAAAGTTAGCCGTAAGTTATGGAAACGCTAATAGATGTCTTGCACTGAGGCACTTGTGATAATGAGCGGAATCATTCTAAGATTTCCACCTACCTGGGACCTAATTTCCAGGTCAGTTAAGCTAATGAGAGTCTCTTTTTGGCATCAATGCGTATTGGCTCTGGCCTGTAATCCAATGCTGAATTAAATTAAGCTTAAAAATTAAACTGACATTCATACAGTTATGCTCCACAGTATCCTACAGAAGAGAGTTCTGTTTCCTTTGGGTTAGATATGTGCTGTATTGCTGTTAGATATAACATTCCTTTTTACCATTTTCAAATAGAACCGGATACAAAAAATTGCACCCAAAATCCTGCAGTTGTTGACTGAATGGACAGAGACGTTTCTTTATGATTTCCGAGATGAAAGAATGATGAGGAACTTAAAGGAGTTGTCACAAAGAGTAGCCAGTGGTGATGAGGTAAGATGTCTGTACACAAAGTTATTGGATAAAAAAGCATTGCTTTAATGCTTTGATATTGCAAGTTAGTTGTTGTTAATAACATGGTACGGCTCTGGGTGGCTAAGCTAACATTACTAAGGTGCTGGTAGGCCAAAAGTTCTGTCTGGCACCTAGGCCTAGGAAGAAACATGCAGCATAAGCAGATCCTTTTCAAAGTGCAGGCAATGTTCGCTCCATCCCTAAACCCGTAACATAATTGCATATTGTGCAGACAGACACAACTTGGTGGTGGTAGTATTTTTCATTTTAGTGATTCTGCTTGGAAGAAGCTAGATAAGACACTGGGAAGCCTTGCATATCTGAGAAATTCCTACCAATGTTGATGATTTCTTCTATTTCTGTGAGTAAGATGTGTTGGAATCAGGCCTCTGTATGTCAATGGAAAAATTATAGCAGGTTTTGGAAAAAGTTTCTGAAAGAAAACTGGACCAGGAAGAATTATCTTGAGCTTAAAGCATCAGATATGGACTCAGAGGAAGTCTGTCATATTCCTTCCTCTGGATGGAGCACATGAGGAAATGACTTGACCTTTTTCTAAGTCCTAGTTCTCAGATGGAAGTAAAGTTTCATGGAGATATTATGAAATATTTTGATGCTTAACTCATGCTTGTCTTGTAAGTATTGAAATAAACTCATCAAAAAGCCAAGGCTTATACACAATTAGTGGAAAGGCAATTAACAAGGTTTCAATAAGCAGATCCTGCGTAACTGGCATAATACTAAGATTACAAAAGACACTGGCGTGGCATTTGGAAGAACTATAAATGCAAAGAGAAATTGCTAAATGGCATCATGCTTCTAACGTTCCTTGAGGGCTGGTGTTCCTTATGTAAGCTTTTGAATAATGATATGGATGAGGTAGCAAACGACATGTTAACAAGCATGTAGGTAAGCTTTACTGGGAGGAGTTGCAAGTGCTGACAAAGGCCTGGAAAGATCTTGAGAGACTGTAAACAAGGATGGAAGAGAACAAACCTAAGCCGAATTTGAAAGCTGAAATAAACATTTTGATGTCGTGAAAGTGGGGAGGGACTAAAATGGATGGGACAAGAGAGTGAGATGCAGTATGGAATACAAATGAAAATTATACCAAATTTGATGAGCAAGCTTAGAGCTGCTGCAAGATAACTACAGGAGGCTTTAGACTGTGGAGAGGCCATAGGTTTGCCTTCCTTGTGGGGATGCCAGGAGGCACCTTTCCCTGTACAGTGCTCCTGCACTGTTGCTTTGTTTCTCTGTACTCTTAATAGGAAGATAGGAAACTGAAGTTCAGTTCAAGGAAAAGTGGTAAGATTGAGGACTTACACCCACCCGCACAAAAAGAGAGAATGAGCTGTTTAGCCTGGGGGAAGTTGAGTTGGATGCAAAAGTGAAATGGCAACAGGGAAGGGTTGTCTACAGTGAAGTTTCTGGAAATACAGATGGTTTAAACAGTGAAATCATCTATTGAGGGGAAAGGCAGATGTAGAAACTGATAGAAAATGAGTTGTAGGGAACCATCTTACTCTGTCAGTGAGCTATAAATCTTTTCTAGCTCTAGCTTTTAGCTTTTTTTTGACTTTGAGGTTTCCTTTAGAAAGAAAAAGGGAAAGCAAGCACTGAAGTAAGTTGACTTGTGTTACTGTGAACTGCTTCGAACAATAAATGGCAACTTCCTTGACCTTGCTTGTCTACAGATTGTGTGAGTCATTACCTTGAAGGATACAAAAGAAGCAATGCTTCCTATTCCTGTTCACTACAGCTCTTCTACTTGTAGCTTCATATTTCACTTCCCAAATTATTATGCGCCAGTACTGTTAAGAGCTATCAGTAAGAGTGCCAACTAAAATTGTTCACCACGCTAACATATTGCTCCATCAAAAAAGGTCTTTGGAAAAACTTTGGTAGGTTTATTCCCCCCCTCCTTCTCCCTCAATTTAATTCCATTCCTTCCACTTATTCCCCCTCTGTGTCCTGAGAGGTCATCATACTCATAAGATACTTCTAGATTGTCCTGGTCCCTTTTACCACTTAACTGACCTTCATATCAAGATACGTCTTTTGAAACCTTTGCCTCCCATTTACTGTTTAGTTCCATATAAACATTTATTAGAGGCTTTTTCTGTGAAACGATGAGTGTATGCAGTCAGACCAAAGCCATGTCCTGTATCCTGATGTCTTTTCATGTGCATCCCAGCATTGCACTGACTTTTTTTTTTTTCTTTTTTTTTGCACGATTGTCCTGGGTTTCGCTAGGTGTGGTG